TTAATGTTGATAGTGTTCGATAGAAAATAGTGTCACTAGCGCCCCCTTCATTTCCGGAATGCAATAGTCCCATTTCCATATAAGGTATGGGACTGACGGAAAGGTCTGTCATCACCGCCCCATTCTGCATGCTGCAGCGAAGTGTACTTGTCTTCATCAGAGCAGAAGCCGACATTAGCAAGATGGATTTATGACTGAACGAACGTCCACATTTTTTTTCATCTCTGTGGGTAACAATACATAAAAAAACATTTTTTTCCTCCGAAAACACGGGTGTGAAAAAAGCTACGGTTGTTAAACCTTCTCTCTGCGCGACGTGCAGCAGGAAGGAGGGAGGAACCTGTGATCCTGTGACACGATGGCAAGATGTAACTTTTCTACAGCGGGAGGGGGACATTTTGACAATTTATTCTCTCTTTACGTGTTTTAAAACGCCATTTTTCTTCATTTATTTTCACAATATTTTGAATAAATGGCCCTATAAAAAATAAAAGAAATTGTTTACCTGCCCGGTCGAGCAGGTATTGGGATACACCCACCTGCCCGACAATGAGTTTTACCTACCCCGGGCAGTCGGGCAATAGGATTTGTCGAACCCTGGTTAAAAGACTCACTTTGAACATTCTGTTACAAATGTCCATATTGTACATCCAACATGTTCGCTTCTTAAATGGTAACTTTTAAAAAAAAGACAACAAAGCAATATTAAGTCTTTATTGTTTCAGGTACAAGGTCATGATATCATTTTACAGTTTGTATTCTGGAGAGCATGAATGTCTGAGCCAAACTTAATAAATACAGAGAAAATATTTGCTGAAGGAGATCACTATAAACCAAAAATGTCAGCCTCCTTGTGATGCCGAAGGAGAAGCGTGTGGGATTTATTGAGGGATGTTCGTCCTTGGAAGCTCATTCAGCAGTAGTTAGGGCATATTCTACTGAACACAACATCTTTATGCATCTAAAAAAAAACAACCTCTGATATAGTTAAAGAGCAGAAAACTGTTTGCAGCACTTTATGAATGTAAAGTCACTGAGGTTTCTGTTGCATTCAGTGTGTGGATGATATTTAAACACGCTGATTAAATCCAATTATATTCAAACCACATCATTTAYCAACCATTTTCTTCTGCAAACAGCCAACCGGGAGAAAAAATGGAAAAAAAAATCCTTGTTTGATTTCCGGAAATTGACCAATTAGCATTTGAAGCAGACTCCAGTGGTTTTAGCGTTACGGTCCCCGAGTCTGAGCTGGGGGACTGCGMGTTCCAAACTCTGCTCAGCTCGGAGTTGGACCCATTTTTGATTAGTGACGATGCAGGACGAGAGCGTTGATAAGCGCTGAGAAAATGCCTCCTAATCAGAAAGTAATGGTACCAGAGGGAAGACTAAAACACCTCGGGCTCCTGAGGAAGACACACAAATAGATGTGGGTAAAGCACTACGTGTACTGTTTGACTATCGCCTGCACTTCTTTCCCTCCCTGACCTAGTTTGCAGAAGAAATATAGAAAACAATGCTTGTGCTCGTGCCATATGCCTTCCTGAACCCCTGCCCCAATCCCCTCAACACAAATGATTAAAGTTTCAGTAGGATGCACTACTTCTTGCTTGTAGATTGACTAAAATGTGTCCCACCACACACACACACACACACACACACACACACACACACACACGGTTGTGAGTGATACAACGAAGTACTGCAAGGAGGGTGCCAGCCCACGGGATTACCTCCTGTGCACGCAACCACATTTCTTAGCCCGTCTCCACTCATTAAATATAAAAGAGTGTGTTTCATGTTCTCACCTTTCCTGGGTGACACACACACAAACACACATGCAAATACATGCAGATTACGTTACACACACTCAGCTCCCGCCCGTTATCGTACGGACGCACGTGAGCGCAAACAATTGCGGCAGATCAAAGGGATGTCATGTAGCTCAGCAGTCTAATGAAAAGCTTTTTTATTATAAAATCCCCAGAAAAAGCTGCAGGAAGTCAGAAATGTGTTTGCTTTCAGCAGGAAGAAGGCAGAGGCTGAAGGAGTCTCCACGCCACGGTCTCCA